AAAAAAGATAACAGAATATACAGATGTGAACCGAAAGACAATAACCAGAAGTACCAGAAACACACACATCCAAGCTATACTAAGAAATATTTGGAACACAAAAGATGCTCAAGTTACCTACCAACTCACAATCAAAGATTTTTGTAATACATGGAAGCAGCAAATAATCAGCACGTGGCACAAGATACGAGATTAAACCACAATTATAAATAAAGATTGTCCGTGATTCTTCAGAAGGGAATTGAGGGTATATAGATTGGAGGATTTATGACCCGACTCCAGATATTTTGTTTTTTGTTTAAGAACTATCTTTTTTACTTTTGCTGAGAATTTAGGGAATCTTATGAACACATAAATAATTTTTTTTTGAAATAAATGAACACATACATAAACTTGTAAATTTCTCCTACTTTTTACATGGATGGCATCCCCTTTTTGCCTTGTTAATACATTTCTGTTTTCTCTCAGAGAAAAAAAATCTCCATGACTTTTCAAGAAAACAACCAGATTTGATTTCAACAGTTTCAAAAAATAGAATATTTTATCATACATAAATTAAAAGAAATACAAACTTTCCATTGGATCACTTCACAATTTCGAATAGTCCTTGATAACAGCCACTCACCTCTTCCTAAAAAACTTGAAAACACATTCAACATCACGATCGAAGTACCTGTGGTTAAGAATATTAAAATCAACGTCAAAGGTTCCAGATAACAGAAATCAATCTTCTCAAAGCACTTGAGAAGGCAGTGTCTCTTACATCTGTGCATTTCGGTGAGATACAGATACCATTTGTGGAAAATCAATCATGGTAACCTCCTCCTCATCATCAATCTACAAAGCACACAAGACTAAATTAATAGATCCACTAGAAAGCTGGACCAATAAACCTACAAATCTTTCTTGGAGAAAAAATTAATCTTCAAGATTTAATTCAATTACACCTGGCCTACAGTACAGGTAACAACCTACTTAGAAAATTTTGAGGCAAATAATAAAACATAAATAACAAAGGACGGAAAATAAAACAAAAGCATAAAAAAAAACAGAATTTCAATAGGAACTAAAGTAGTAACGAGAAATACAGACAGGTTTAATGGATTTGGGTTGACTTCCGAAAGAATATAAATATGCTTGCAGTAAGTCCAATGTACTACTTAATACTTAACCCAGGAACCATGACCATTGAATTTCAACCCTTTGATAACAACAAAAACCTATTTGATCTCAAGTGTTAGAGATCACTGAAGTTTTTTCTTTTTTTGAGATAAGTTAGGGATCACTGAAATTGAATGACTATTAAATTAAACAATGACTGAAGTATACACCAAAATCAACAACTAAAATGATAGAAGAAACCTTAAAAAGAATATGCGTAAATAAATATATATATATTTATATATATAGAAGATGCTCCTGATGCATTAAGATAAGAAAAACAAAGACACATAGTTTCAGAGATCATTAAAATACCATAATGTTGAATTCATTGAAATCACAGTGGATAAGGCCATGTTCTGCCAAGCGGACAATTAGACCAATTATCGTCTCAAAAACTGGTTCTGGATTTTGCAATTGCTTTACTTGCACACTGCATTTAATAGAAATGATAATGAAACCTTTTTTTCTCTCATGGAGGAATCATTATCATGCAGAGAAAAAATTTAAAAAAAGGACCAAAAAAAGGTGAAAGGAAAACCAAAAAGGCAGACAAAATATTTATACATCATACCATGCATTAATATATCTCAACTAACTAGCATATCGGATGCTTGAATTATTTATTTTAATATTTCATTTGTGGACAATATAACAAAAGATATAGGTAAAATCACAGGGAAAACCGAACAGATGAAAACTAACTACAGCAAATAGAACAGGAAGTAATTAATCCTTATTGTGCAGCTAAAGATTGTGGAAGCCTGTTAATAGAAAATAGTAAATGGATGAAAAGGAAATTAAAGGCCATTTTGGAAAGAAAAGACAAGGGAAAGGAAACACGTTCCATCTTTGGGCTCCTTTGGAACGCTGTTCTTGATGACTTGATGCTCTTAAAATGGGTGATATGGTGATCTGTGGCTCCAGATTTATGGGCTTGGAACTTCTATTCAAGCGGGACTAGGAGAAGATAAATTTCTCTCTTATTCCCCTAGCTATTTTTGGGTCACCTGGAGAGAGAGGAAATGATGATTCCTTTCCCATGCATCTCTCCTTTCCTCTTAGTCCACTTGTTCCAAGTATGCATAAGCTCTTCAGACATAGAAGCCTGTTTCTAACATCACCGTTTACAATACCCTCAAGGACCTGATCAGCACTGTGAAAAACTTGTTAATAAAATCTGGTATCTCCCTCCCGCCATGAGAGGTATATCTACGTTCTAAAGCAACTGTTACCAAATCCATTTAATTTCAGCCATAAGTTGCAGCACAACGATATCCAGATATCTATATCACCACTGATCTTCAAGTCTAGACCACTGATACAAAAGTATACAGAATTTGGTATTTTTACAAAAGAAGTTTCAACTGCGAGGACTTTTCAACTATCAATGCAGTCTAGTACAAACTACGAAGAGAAGTTTTTATTTGCTTCTAATAAAGATAAGATGTGGTTTATAGGAACAGATCTATTTAGTCAGAACTGATGCCCAAACAATAATCGCGTACGGATATGTTAATGAACTGTAGCTGGCAATTGAGTAATCTCTTACAGGGGATAACCTCGGACAAGTGACATAACCACACAATGCCTATTACAGTCGATAGCCTGGGGAACTGGAAAACCATGTTCTTCTAAAGCCTGCACAAGTGAAAGGTTTATATCAGAGAGTCCATTACCCATTACAAGTAACCTAAGTTTTTAATCGGGATAAGTAAGAACCTTCATAAAAGCATATTCTTTAAGTGCAGCAAGCCTAGACAAATAGAGCCAGTTGTAATTGCTTCGATGCCTCAAGTAATCACGCTTCGATTTGACAGCCCTAAAAGAAGTTCTACCAAGTCTGTGCAATTTCATTGCAAGCACAGTGCCATCTTCCTGGGCAACCTCAAAGATATCTGAAGTAAACAGCATAATGTTTCAGAGGTAATGAGAACAAAAAGATACAAAATAAAAATTACAGGTATAGTCAAAAGAATCACCAGACTCTTTTCCAACCCCAATTTGACGGCCAACAGCAGTAAACACACCACGATTGACCATGGTCTTAATTGCAAGAAAATCATAGCCAAGGTAGGTTAGCCGAAACCCATCATCTAGATCCATGCAAGAAAGACGATAGAGACTTCAAACGTCAGAAAATTGGTCCCCATAAGCAGCAAAAATTGCATTCAGCTATTATATCTATAAACAAAACAACTCACATTTGGAAGAGTCATGGTGCAATAGCTTATGCTTGAGCAAGTTCTTCAAGACCTTATAAGTACCTCCATGCCTGCTCACATGGCATTATCACTTCAAATTACCAAAATAAGAGTAAAGAAACTAGAAAAGAAGGACCCCGAAAGTGCCTAATTATGAAGAGAACATTGCGAATAAACCATATGGAGAGAACGAATGACAAAAAAAGAGAAGCCAGACAAAGGGAATCAATTACTTGAGAGAAGCAATGCGTTCCACTAGCTCGGATGGTACAAGCTCGTGCTGAAACAAAACAGATCAAATTTATCAACACGAAACCAATCAAATTTTACAGAATCCCAAACAGTGATTCTACCAGCAGCAGTAAAAACATGTATTAGGCAACGATAAGAATAGTTACGGAAACTAACGTTTCTCATGCCCATCTCGACGGCAGTAAGAACCCTAAAATCATCTTTAGACAGATATCGCAGCACATCCACGGTCAGCTTCATCTTTATATTCTCTTCCTGCAACACCCAAAGTATAATTGGAAAATCTATATATATCCATGCACATACCCATCCGTAATAATCCGCGGCTACCCTAAAAAATAATAGATGTCTGCGTGCTGTAGAGATGAGAAGAGAAGAATTCAGAATGGGAGACAACCTTAGCTTCGACAGACAGAAAAGAGGAAGCGGTGAGGGAAGTGACCGCCGACGACGTGAGTCGTGCAGAGAGCGAAAGCAACCGGAGCCAAGCCGGACGGGGGAAAGGAGATGCCGTCGAGCGTGCGGAGTGAGAGAGAGTGGCGGTGAAGTAACAAAAAGAAAGGGGAAGGTTACTCGGACTTAAAGGGATATGATTGGGAATTAGCAAAAGATCAAGGGTATATTAGTAAATGTAATTCCCATGAGATGGTCAAAGTTCTCGGTCAATTAAATGGAAGTTACTAAACTTTTTAGCGAACTCGCATGAAACAGTGCACAAAACTGTGATACCTAAACATATAAAATTTTGAATAATACATTATAAAATAATTTAATTTTTAATTATAATTTAAAAAATTAACAGCCAAAGTATGCTTGATTCGTGGGCATTACATGAACTGTTTATTCAATCTGGATAAATTATTTCCCAATTTTTAAAGAAAATTCTTCTCTAAAAAATCAACCCATTTGCCCTTCCAAACTCTATTTCTAACTTGTAATTAGTTCATTATAGAGTTCTAACATTTATGGTATGTACTCTCTTTAAAAAAAAAAAGATAACTCATTCTGGTCAAGAAAACTTATTAAATTAAGAATAATTGAGGTTAGAAAACTCCTGACATTACGTTGATTAAAACATAAACTGAACCAACACCATCTAAGTAGTTAAAAGCAGCAACATTTTCCAATGCCACAAAGGCTCACTCTAGGCATATGAAAATTTGAAATCGGCACCAAACATAATAATAACATGGAATGTTTATGGAAAACACAATATTATTACATATGTTAATAGTTCTATAATTTGAAAGAGAAAAAAAAAATGATATCAAAGACATCAGACTAATTCCACTTTCACCAAACAAACCCCCGCCAAAGCAACATTGGGAAAGTCATAGAACCCGGTGAATAAAAGCACAAACAGGTGCGTGCGCAACAGATTCAAAAAACTCCTCATTCCTCTGCGGCACTGGCTGCGTTCAAATCAACGCTAAGGTCCAGAACCTGCTCACACAAAACCATCAATCTGATTACTACTTGAGCATCAGCCTAAAGTTGGGAGAGCAAAGAAAATATCCCCAACAAGGAGAAAGCTATGGTTCTACAACGACAACAAATCAAACCAAACAATATTAAACTGTCACCAAAATAAATTGTAGCTTTAAAATTTGATATTTCTCATGCATGAAACAACAATCAACATTTAATCCTACTGAGACAAAAAAAAAAAAAAAAACTGACTACTTCAATAAAATTTAAAACCTCACCTTTCCAGTAATCATGGTGTACATGTTCAGTACATCCACTACAGTTGTCTCAAAATGTGTTGTAGCGTCGTAACTCTGTTATGGGTACCAGGAGAGAGATTAATCACAGTACATATGCAGGGGAAAATGCAGCAATATTGAGTTAAAATGGCTCAAAATAAAGATAACACTTGGTTGAGATATATACTCACCGTTGATATAAAACAATTGTCCAAAGAGGGCTCATTGACTGGCATGAATCTATCATAAATATCAAAAAATATTTCATCAACAGGACCAAGAAGATCAATTCCTGGCTTTAGCTCAGCCTGAGGATTATCAGTCTCTGCATCTGCCGATACAAATGCAACGAATTTACCCTTTGCAGCAACATTGTGAGAATAAGAACAACAGAAAACGTACCTGTCAAGGCATACAAGAGTCAGGAATCAGGCTGAAAAAATTAACAAATAAAGAAAAGAAAAAAATAACATATATTCTAATGGGTGCCAACAGGCACCAATTTGATTCTGTGAGCCAGCGACTCTTCCCTATCTCTGAATTGGTTTTTGGACAGTACACTGATATGAAAAATTCACTTTTCCATGAAAGTAAAGAAAATGGATAACAGCAACCATCCATGACTTTGCTACTTGATTCCATCCCAGAATCTAAAAGAAAAAAGTACACATAAAAATAAAGATCTCTCTCATGCAATTAGTCTAGATGGCCTTCATTTTCAAACCATGAAACCCTTGATATTTAACTTTAAGGGCTGAGATCAGCTCTATTCAAGCAAACAGCAAGTACATGAATGTTTACCTTACCTGCATCAAGTTACCCACTTATTTGTTACAACGCAGAAAATCAACAGGATAAAGAGAGAAAGGAAAACAAAAGTCCTATCCAAACAACTTATCCATTGAATTTTGAGCAAGGAAAGAAAGAGAATAGGGGAAAAAGTTCCTAAAAGTTTCCTTTCAGAACGTAAGAAACTTAAGCCAAAAGCAGATGAGTTTAGAGGTGAATTCCTTGGCAAGTGCAGTTCTCCAGCACAAGGTGCAAATTTTCAATGAACACAAACATAGAAAGAAATATAGAATCTTTCATTATTTAAGAAGGCAGACTTATCTTCCCTCCACTTTATTTTCTCTTCTATGATAATGACATGAACAGCATTAATGAGAACTCACATGTCCGACTTGCGACCCAACTGCTTCTGGGGCAGGATGATCTGCACTGAATGAGAATCATTTGTGTTTGGAATTGGGTGGCTCATGATAGCAATTGCCCTGGCCACCTTACCAACCTTCCTAACCTGTTAAAACAAAATAATTGTAAATCATGATATTGACATGTGAATTCAGATAAGTCTAGAATTGGCTTCAAAACTCTTGACCAGGGATCATATAATTGTAATAATACAAATTTTGATTAGACATTTATTTTATATATAAAGTTTTTAGAGAAAATAAACTTCTAATTTTTTTATTCCTTATTTTGTTTACATTTAAAATATAAATATAAATTAGTTATCCTTATTTTACTTGAACTCTAATTATATGATATAATTATACTATTATAACTTTAAATAATATAGTATTCTACTTAACATAAAATCTTTATCAACACTTCTCTTCAAGTTGGCGCAAAAATATCACACATGCCCAACTTGCAAATCAAGTTCTAAAGAAATTTGTTGCATAATCTTTTAGTGAAAATGTCAGCCACTTGGTCGCCAGAAGATACATGATATAAGCACAGAAAGCCACAAACTACCTTCTCTTTTATGAAGTGTTGATCAATCTCAATATGTTTTATTCTGCATGTTGAACTGGATTATGAGCGATGATAATTGCTGCTTTATTGTTACAAAACAGGAATAGTTTTTCATTTTTAACCAGTTTTAACTCCCTCATTAGCTTTTGCAACCATAATATTTTACATACTCCTTGGGTCATTGCTCTATATTCTGCCTCATTACTAGAGCAGGCAACCATACTTTGTTTCTTACTTTTCCATGTAACTAAGTTGCCTTCTACAAGTGTGCAGTAACCTATAATTGATCTTATATCATTTAGGGAACCAGCCCAATTGGCATCTGTAAATGATTCTATTTTAAGGTGACCATACTTAAAAAAGAGCAGATATTTTCCTGGTGCAAACTTCAGATATCGTAATATGCAGAAGACAACATATAAATGAGTCTCATGAGAATCATACATGTACTGGCTCAAAAGACTAACTGTATATACTATATCAAGTCTGGTATGCGATAGATAAATGAGTCTTCCAACTAGGGTCTGGTATCTTCCAAAGTCAACTGATGTACCACTACCTGCTCGCAATTTTTGGTTGCTCTCAATAGGTGATTCTGCCGGTTTGCAACCCATTATACCAGTCTCTTTTAGTAAGTTTAGGATATACTTCCTTTGAGAAATGAAAATTTCTTTATTGGATCTGTCAACTTCAATCCCCAAGAAGTATTACAATATTTCTAAATCTTTTATTTCAAACTCTTGAGCAAGAAATTCCTTCAACCGAGTCATCTCCTTTGTATCATCTCCAGTCACCACAATATCATCTACATAAACAATGAGAAGAGTGACTTTACTTTCACGATGTTTAATAAACAAGGTATGATCCTCATTACTTTGTTAATATCCAAAAGAGATCATAACTGTTTTAAACCGTTCAAACCATGCTTTTGAAGACTGCTTTAATCCATATAAAGTCTTTTTTAATTGACAAACTTTTCCTTACATCCTCTCATCTTCAAATTCAGGTGGAATTTCCATGTACACCTCTTCCTCTAAGTTTCCATGGAGGAATGCATTTTTTACATCAAACTGCTATAAATCTCAATCAAGATTAGTTACGCAAGACAAAAGTATCTTAATTGTGTTCATCTTCGCAACAGGTGCAAATATCTCCTGATAGTCAATCTCATAGGTCTGAATAAATCATTTAGCCACCAATCTAGTTTTGTACCTTTCAATCGATCTGTTTGCTTTGTGTTTTATAGTGAACACCCATTTGCAACCAACTATCTTCTTTCCCTGTGGAGGTGAAACAAGTTCCCATGTTTCATTTTTTGTCAATACTTTCATTTCTTCAATCATGGCTTTCTTCCACTTGGAATCTCCTAGAGCTTCTCTCCAATCCTGTGGAATAAATACAGAAGAAACAGACAAGACAAAGACTCTTTAGGAGGGAGATAAAGAGTCTTAAGAAACAAAATTAGATATAGGGTGCTTAGTACAAGTTCTCATTCCCTTTCTAATAGCAATAGGTTTATTTGATAAATCACAAGAAAAAGATAACTCACCAATATCTTCTAGAACCAAAGAAGATTATTGACCTGGGACAGACTGCATAATGACTTTTTCAGACTTCTTTCTCCTTTAATACCTTTTCAAGTCTGATTTATCTAGACGTCCACCATTATTTTCTTGATTAAGACTCTTTGTAATAGAATTTTCCCCCTGAATATGATTCTCAATCGTTACCCAATTAGGTATCACTTCTTCCTTCTCACTCTCCCCCTAAAGAGGTGTTGGGTTTGAGTTGAAGTAAGATTCATTCTCCCTAAAGTTAATATCCATAGTTATAAAGTATTTTCTAAATGGTGGATGATAACACTTATACTCTTTTTGGGTAGAAGAATATCCAACAAATACACACTTAAGAGCTCAAGGTTCTAGTTTACCTACATTTCTAGCATGAACAAAGCACACACATCCAAATACTTTTGGGGGAACAATGTAGGAATTTTTTTCTTACAAAACCTCCATAGGACTTTTAAAATTCAGGATCCACAAAGATATTCTATTGATAAGCTAGACAGCTAAGAGAACTGCATCTCTCCAGTAACTCTTTAGTAGATTCATTATGAACATTAGTGACTGAGCTACCTTTAATATGTATTTATTTTTTCTTTCAGCAACCCCATTTTGTTCACTAGTGTAGGCACAACTTGTTTGATGATTATCCCATTTGACTCCAATAGGCACAGAACCCACTATTCATATATTCTGTACCATTGTCCGTTCGCAGAATCTTAACTTTAGCATCAAACTGTGTACATATCATTTTAAGGAAAGATTGAAAACATGAAAATACATCACTTTTGTTTTTAGCAATAAAGGTAACAAATCATCTATGACCAGAAAGAAAAGTATTCTGAGTAGGTCCTCATACATCAAAGTGAATAGTTTTAAAATGATCAATACTTCTATTATTAATTAAATGATAAGAGTTCCTCTAAGCAAGTTCGCATGCATCACAAAATAAAAACTTCATAAAGGTTCTTTTGAATAACTTAGAATATAATTTTTCTAAAACAAAAAAGGAAAGATGTCCTAATCGTCGGTGCCATTGTAGTATCTCCATATTGACTTCTTTATTCTCAATGGTTGCTTGATTTCCAATTAAGTTCAGATGTCTATTCAAGACATATAAGTCATCTTACAATCTACCAGTGTCAATTCTCTTCCCGATTTGAAAATCTTCAAAAATGCAATGATTAGGAAAAAATTCAATCATACAGTTGAGATCTCTAGTTATGACACTAATAGATAAAAGATTATCAAAAAAACTACACACGTGTAAAATTGAAGACAATGTAATAATAAGAGTACAATTAATGGAACTTATTCTTGACACAGGAGTATATAACCCATCTGTTATACGGACATTATCACCTTCAGTACAAGAAGAATAGGTTAAGAATTCTTTAGAAGAGCCTGTCATATGTCTGTTAGCTCCAGAGTCTATGATCCAATTATCAGGAGTGGAAATATAATGAACAATACATGATTTTATCATATTTAATGTGCCAACAGTTGATGAAGAGTTAAGTTGACTTAGAAAGCGTTTCAGATTTTGAATTTCTTCTATGGAAAAGGCTCCAATGGATAGTGAACCAGGTGTTTCCCTAGTTTCAACAAAATTTGTTTGAACTCTTGTGGTTCCACCTCTTCTTCCTCCCCAACCTCTAACTGGTCTTCCATGCAACTTCCAACAAGTTTCCCTAATGCGTCTTGGCTTACTATAATAGTCACAGTTCTATATATCTCTGGATTGATCAAACTGAGCAACTAATACAGCTTTTTCAATTGGTGCAATATGAAGCATGGCATTTCTTCTACTCTCTTCTTGCTGAACATAAGTATAAATTTGTTTTAATGAAGGAAAAGGATCCTTACCAAGCACTTGGACCTGTATTTGATCATATTCGGTGTTCAAATCAGCTAAAAAATTATAAATTCGCATTTTTCTGTCAATTTCTGAAATTTGACTGCATCTACAGGGCACTCTACTTGAACCCATATTTGATTATATTCGGTGTTCAAACCAGATAAAAAATTATAAATTCACTCTTTTTCTATCAATTTCTGAAATTTGACTGCATCTGCAGGGCACTCCGCTTGAAAATCTTGATAGTAATCTAACTCTTGCCATAATCCATTTAATTCAGAAAAATATTGAGAAATAGTATCTCTCCTTGCTTTGTGTCATGAACTTTATTCCGGAGTTCATAAATCTGGGCGTCATTACCTATCTGTAAATATGTGAGAGATGCTGTATTCCATATTTTTTCGGCAGTGTTAAGCAACAGATATATTCTGACAATATAGAGTTGCATGGAATTTATGAGTCATGACATTACCAATGAGTTCTCAAAGTCCCATCTATTATATTCTAAACTACTAACATTTGGTTTCTTCACCTCACCAGTAATGTAACCTTACAACTCTCTAGATTTGATGAACAATAAGTAAAATCTCAACCAAGTAAGATAATTAATTCCATCAATTTTTACGGGACTGATTTATAATGAAAGATTATTAAAACTAGTAACACTCACCTTTTTTAGTTCTGCCATTTTAGAATGCTAAAAATAAGAAGAAAAAATACTTAGTAATGAAAAATAGACCTCCTATCTACACCAAGCAGCCAAAAAATGGAGCAAGATTTGGTTCAGCTCTAAAAGGCTGGGGTTTAGTTCTAAAACAACTCAGACTCGGCTCTAGAACAGCTCAAACTCAGCTCTAAAACGGCTCAAAGTCGACTTGGCTCGTCTTCTCCAGACAGATCTCTGAACGTGTGCAGAAAAAGGTAATGTTGTGGCCTTTTTTACATGCATCTATTGATGTGCGGCTATAATATTTTATTAGTGTTTCTGGATGTGCGATTTAAATTTTTACTAACGTCTCCGAATGTGCGACTGCACCTTTTTACTAGCGCTTGAGGATGTACGACTGCAACTTTTTACCAACGCTTATGGTTATGCGGTTGTATATTAATACCGACGCTTTCGGAGGTGCAGCTGCACTTTTTACTAACAACTGCGAATGTGTGGCTTCAATTTTTACCACGCCTGCAAATGTGCAATTGCAGTTTTTACCGGCGCTCTGATACCATGAAGTTTTTAGAGAAAATAAACTTTAAATTTTTTTATTGCTTGTTTTGTTTACATTTAAAATATATATATAAACTAATTATTCTTAATCTAATTGAACTCTAATTAATAGGAAATAATTATATTATTAGAACTCTAAATAATATAGTATTCTACTTAACATAAAATCTTTATCAACAATATATCCATTTAAGCTAGACTCTCTATGCATACACATTTATTTGGCCCATGATTCTAACAAAAGCTAACATGTCCTTCTTCATGAGTGCATCTATATCTTTATTTGAGGGCAAAAGTGAAGGAAAGAGATGCTGAAAGTTTTTTACATCTCATGGAAGACATACAGGAATAATAACATTACCTTGTTAGGCAGATAGGAAGGATCACAAACAACTTTCTTGCACATAGCAGTCTCTCCTTCAGACGTGACACCACTAACTTTACCTTCTTCATTGAACTCTACCTGGCAAAAAATAGAATTACCAACATTAAATTGATGCCAGTGTACACATAGTAATTTCTATCATGGGCCTGTCATAAGGTACAAGTAATGCAAGTATATAGTAGCTAAAGAAATACCTTGCACTCAGGCTTATTCAACATATATGTCCCACCATATACAGCACTAAGCCGTGCAAATGCCTAAGTTTGAAAAAAGGAAAAGGGAAAATTAAGATGGAGAACTAAGCAAATTAGGTTCCTTCATTATACCAAATCACCAATATGTTTGTAAAAAAACAAGTACCTGGGGCAGCTCTCCCAATCCATATAAAGGATATATATAAGGTGATCCTCCTTGAAAACGAGCAAGAGACTCCGAATATAGCTATCAAATAAATAGGAAATAAACTTTAGCAAAAGAAAAAGGAAAAGTTCAGATAGTATATAGAAATGCAAACTTTAAATCACATAACTGACAATCAAGAAAGTAACACTACAAATCCCGCAAAGAGTTCACCTTCATTTTCTTCACAGTCTCGAAAGCAGGTTCATCCAGGTAGTTGTCATCTCTATGAAGTGCCAATGCATGACCAATGAAGTCCACAGTGTTATCATCAAGACCATATTTGCTGTCAAAGAAACAAATGTGATGTTATGAATCGCATTTCTTCGTCAACTAACAGATTAGAGAAGGTAAGAGATCAACCAGAAATACAATCTCACAGGCTAGGCTAAACCTATCCCTCCAAAATAATAAGAACTCAAAGTAACCAAATAACGAAACTTGAATTCTATCAAGTTGTAACTTCTATGAATAGTGAACAAAAATTTTATTTTCTATCCATGTCCTAGTGACACCTAAAACAGTGCTGCATCTTCAAATCTTTTAAACGATAAAAGAATTTTTTTTGCCTCATTAAAATAAGGTTAGGAAACGCAAAAAAAAATGTTTAGTGCAATAAAACATAAACAGCAACTTACGCTATCAGCTCCCTAGTTGTCACTCTTGTCAAATCCATTCCTTCATGTGTTTTGGGGTCACTCTCATCATAGTCCTGAACATATATAAAGAATTTTCGAGCGCGACGTTTTTCAAATATCCCCATGAGTGGAGATTTGAGTGCCTCCATGTCAGTTGCCGGTACCTTGTGAACCTACAGGCGTTTATTTACAAGCACCTTGAGTCAAGAAAAATGCAAATAATATTGTACTAAAAAAAGACCGATACTGCATTGTAAGAAAAATTATACCTTTCCTTTATTATAGACATAACTGCCATCTACTGCTTTGAAAGATAGGTACTTTGTAACATCTGTATGAATAAGGACACGTACAAGCTTGCCATTTGCCATCATAAACTAGCCAACAAGAAGCATCAGCAAATGATCAGGGGACATAATTCAAATATTTTTCCTGCTAGGAACTAGATTGGCTCTAGCAGTGAAATATGATTACCAACCAAGACAAGTAAAAAGGAAGCATCGAGTTTAATGAAAATCACCTTAGGGACCATGTCAACATTATAGTCCCTGCTAGAGCCCAAATGGGCCGGAGGTTTATCACTTCCTCTAAACCTCTTCCATAGCTGTGAAAATGATCATAGTCGCATAAAAAGTAAAAGGAATTTCAAGAAATAATAAAAGGGTGAATAATAGAAGTAAGGAGTAACCCAAAGTCTTCAATGAGACTTTAAGGAAGTAGAACCTGAACAAGGTTGAGGGATGTAGACTCTCCACCGTAGTAATCATTTCTATCCATATGCAGTACCTGGGGATAAGCAACAGGGCAAAATTATTGCAAAAACATTAATGCTTACAGTTACAGTACACTGCTTCCAAATTTAGCTAATGCAAATATACTTCTGCACAAGTGAAACCTACAAACCAACCCACCGACATCCAATGAAAACAAAAATTCACTTTGTATTTCCAAGCTACTGCAAATGAAGAAACAAATGTATGAATACAAACAGAGCTAACACTGTCTTACAGCCCATTTGTTTCACAATTCAGTAATCAGAGATTTATATGAGAGTAGAATAACATGGTCCTGCAGACATAGTAACTAATTCTCTTCCAAATCCAATGTTAGTCAGATAAATTACAAGATTAGAATTGGACAGGAAATTGAAATTATTAGTATAATCAAAATGCCCTGGATTGCTAAAAATAAAGAAAGTTAGCGTGCAAGAACAATAATGAAAAATAAATAATGATGCACCATATTTAGAAATTTTTCATATTTGACTCAAAGCTCAAGTACAGTTTCCATGAACTAGTTTTCCCAATCCAACTTACAGTAGAAAAACAACCAATATTACTTTTTTAACCATTGCAATGCAAATAATATTGTCGCTCAAACAACACCTGGTTTACTGCCCAACAAGCCCTTAAAATGATCAATCAACCAGAAAACAAGTGTGT